ATGATATAAATAAATTAAAGTGTAAAACCATAAGAGAATTTAGGGAAAAATTTCTTCACTTCGTATGAAAAACAAATGATCTATCAACTTATAGGATAAATTTTCAGATTTTTCTTTGTTTTTGAATTTGAAGTCCATTTTTAAGGTTATGTTCTCAAAAGAAATTAAAATTTAAAAAGAAAATGTGGGGTTTCGATTTGTGATAAACAAAGACTTTTTTTTATTGTCGAGTGTCAAGATCATCTTGAGAATTCTTAGATAAACAACAAGAGTGTTCTTCAAGAATATACAGTCCTTCAATTCAGATTGTTTGTTTAGTTATAGTTGTAATCGTACACATCTGGTAGAGCTCTTACAATTCAATGATTACATAATTAATAGGTTTCCCACCATTTTATGCCTTTCTGCGGTATTTTGAAGTAGGAGAAATAATAGTCTGGTGTTAGCATAAAATCTTTACGTGGGGAGTTTATGAATATCATTGTATTATATTATTCCCTAAGGTTCCAAGTGGAAATCATGGCTTCAGAGGCAAATCTTAGTTTCACTCTGTTCTTTGTACTCTTTTTAAGCTGACTTCGTCATCACCTAGAGGTTTTCATATTCCCTTGTAACGATGCGTATGTCAGCCTCGTACCCCTGCCCAACTCGTTGTTTCCCATTTGGGTTCTACTCTAGGACTTGGTGCTTGATGTCAATCAAAGGTCTCCTCAGCATATGACCGATATATTTCCATTTCCTTCTGAATATTTTTGGGTGGCAAGTTTTTGCTTGGTTCTCTGCCTGACAGAGTTCCATGAAACTTATCCTTTCTAGTCATCCGATCTTGAATACGCAGCCAACGAAGGCAGTCGTTGATAAAAATGTGCATCAACCATATAGAAGTATTGATTTCACATTAGCGTTGAAGATCTGTATTATGATATTTATGTTAGATAGAGCAGATTTCCACACCAATTTTGGAGTAATGAACTCTTGTCTTACTTTTCTGATCCTTGCTAGCCTCAACATTCTTATCTGTGCTGTTTGTAGTTAAAATGATACTGTTTAGGTTGGATAAATGCAAGAGACGACTTTCAGTTAAATTCCACTTGTTGTTGATGATTCATGCCTCGCCTTCTGATTATTCTGTCAACTTGTTGGTTTTCACCTGTAGATCTTCGAATTTGTGAGGAATTAGACATTAGAAGTTCAAATCTTCTAATGTCTCCCTATCGGTCTAACTTATGTTCGTTTTCTAGCTTCTTATGGTCTGACGCATGAATCTGTCCACCACAATCAGGAATATCATGGGTCATGGGTCGTTTTCATTTCAAAGACTTCACTAAGATTTCCAGTCAGGAATTACTTGGCATATGACACCATATCATCATTGTTGAAAGAGGTTTTTAAGGGTTTTAGGGTACTGCACATTATAAGATAGATACAGTTTCCGAAATACTTCACGGTCGACGTTATCAAAGGTCTTGTTTCTCTTAGAAGTGTCGATATCAGTCCAAATAACTATCCCTTATCATTAAGACCACCCTCAGACTGTAGTTAAAAGTTACTAGTTAGGGTTTTCCTAATGGAATCTCTCGATGAAGGCTTTTCACTTAGTCCTTAACGGCATTCATTACTGATATTTAACTCCATCTATATTTTTCTACCCAAATTTGCCACTTCAACACAATTAATCGCTTTCTGCTTGTTGATCTACTAATTTAATTGGGGCTGTTCTATTTTATTTTCCACATAAAGGCGTCTTTTGAAAAGCTCTTACTGAAGAATTCTATTCCTCTTTAGATCATAAAACATTTAGATTGTGGTGAATGTGTATTTTTCTATAATTTTCACTTTATTTACAAAGTGATTTATTAAATCTTTTCCATTTTACAACTTTAAAAGTTATATAAATGGTTGTTGTATGCGAAATCATGTTAGCTAACACATAAAATATACTTAGAAGTATAGATGGTCGCATCATGCATGAGATTATACCTTGTGTACAGGTTTAGTCACGAGTTGACACCAGTTAGGGAACCGCTGGAAAACCTTCAGGGAGTACTGAACACCCGCCTCGCCCTAGTTTGCGTTTCTTCAGTAGTAAGCACCCACTGAGGCTCGAAACTGGGAACTATAAATCACAAGGCGAGCTCGTAGACCATTCAACCACCAGGAGCTAACCCTGTGGCTAACGAATTTCAACTTCTAATTTAAGATATTAATCTCAACCACCAAGTATTGTCATAGGGGAGTAACTGTTGTCTTACCTGCTCTGATGGACTTCTCACCAGAACTCTAGGTAACTTCTTGCATAGATCCAGTTCAATCAATAATGAAGTGTTCGTTTGCAGGGATTTGATTGGTTAATCTTTTGCTCACGAGCTAAGATTAATTAGTTGTTGGTTTTCCAATGGTTCTCTAACTAATGCCAACGTATGATCACACCTGTTACTGATGATCACATCCCTAAAAGTCAACACAATATTTTTTGCGTGGATATTTTTCTTGTGCGCATATAGTTGATTAATTCAACTGTTAAAGATGATGTTTACAGGCACTAAGGGACTTGAAACTGTAAAGGATATTAGGAACACTACCACAGAATAGAAGTATATAACTATTTGCCAAATAAATGTATTCAGAGGGAATTAAAATATGTTATGATTATTGATATCAAGCACTCTCTTATTTTTTTTATTATTCTTATTACTCCCTTGAGTTCCGAGTCGAACATAAGGCTTTTCAACAGCACATCACCAGTTTTTCTGCTCTCTGCATTCTTCTTTAGCTGGCTCCACGATTTCATATAGTCTATTGTCTCTTCCTGATACGTTCTGCTCTTTGTCACCCTCGAATCTACAGCTAACTCGACGTTTTCCATTCGAATTCCACTCGAGCGATGGCCTAGTGCATTATGTCACTGAAGGGTTTTCTTATGGTGCGTCCAATCCATCTGCTTTCTTAGCCTCTCATAATCTCAGGTCACAAAGATTATAATTCACTTGTATATGAAAGAAAGTATTTCAAGTGTTTCTGTTAAAGAAGGACACATAAATATGAATCAGAAAACATGGATAAAAACTACCGGATGTGACATTTAAACGGCATAAACATCCAAAGGCTATCCATACAGGATTTTAAACGAAAATCATCAGATTGGTAGATAAGGTGATCAAGGGAAATGTTATTCATAAATAGAATAAAATACATAATTATGAAACGTATAGATTTGAAGGTTTGAAGGTAAACTCAATTCAATAAAGATGCCAATTATAAATTTAAAAAGACTAAGTATAGTGAATAGTGAATACTGTTTTGATTGGTTACAGGATTTGCTCATGAGCTGATATCGATTAGAGAACCTAGGAGTACTGGACAGTTGTTTCGTTCTAGTTTGTGCTCTTCATCAATGCGCATCCACTGGGCTTGAACCAATATTTGAATACTGTTTAGGATGTCTTATTCATTGGGTTCTATGGTTATGCGTCTATAATTGTTAGATAGTTATTGTTATTCATAAAATTGAAGTCTTAAACAACATTGAATCAATAATAATATGGACAGATTACAGTTTGAAAGCATCTGTGAATTATAAACTGCTAAAAAATGTAATATTAAACAGTTAAATTAAGAGGAATAATGGAGAATTTATGAATTCATAAGTTCGACAGCAGGCTTGGAAAAGCAGTAGTTGCTTGACCTGAGTTTCTTTTCCTCCGGTTTATTTAGGAGAATTGCAATGGGTCCTAGCAATTTATGAGGTACCCGTTAGGCGATAGGAAAAGATTCTTTACTACTGGTTTTATGGGTTGTTTGAACCAGGTGGTCCGATATCGAATTGTTAATAATTTTTACCATGACGTTGTTTCATTCCACCGTTAGGTGTTCCCAAGCATGAAAACTAAGTTTTTAGGCCAAATAATTGCTCAATATGTGATGTACACAGTTCATTGGGGATGAAATTTCTTCATAGTTTTCTCTGGAGGGCAAATTATTCAGATCATTACAATGTGATCTGCCTGATACCATAAGTGGTGATTAAGGAAACAAGCGTAACTGCATAAAATTATGTACTACTGATTGATTGCGGGTGAGTAGATTTATCCCACTCCCATCAATGAGTAGTGCCTACTAGCCAGATTAAGGTTTTCTAAACACCGGACCACCTTTTCGCTCAAATGGTGATGAGCTCATCAGCCACGTCCACTGTCTGAGTCAGTTCAGAGACCTGAATAAGTTCAAACGATCCAATTTCTGGCTAACTACTTCGGCGAACTGGTCACACCACAATTCAAATTTACAATATGCAAAAATAGTTAACAGTTTATAGTAAAAGTGTTGGCTGCACAGGAGCAGTTGAATCGACCGGTGTTTTCCTTCGTTAATCGGCTTTCTTGGATTACGTGAATGTGTATTTTTACTGAATGATAGACTCCAACGATTTGCCAGTTTTTATACAACATAAGTAGTGTGGACGTCATTAGAAGTAGAAGTGTTATTAGTTCTCGCTATCCAGCAAAAAGTGATCCCAGAATCTTACTTTTTTTTTTTTTATTTTTTATGTACAGCTTGATTCCACACTGTATTTTCGGTACAAGTATGGAATTTTCAGCATGGATATCGGTAGCCCAAATTTTGCAGGCCGACCATAGATATCAGATGTGCGTCGATGCGGGCTCGAACCCCGGACCATGTGCATGGTCGGCGAGAGTCCTATTATTACAGAGAATGTTGATTGTGCGTCGGTGGCACAGTGTTTAGGATTCTCGCCGACCATGAACATGGTCCAAGGTTCGATCCCCTGCCGACGCACACCTGGTATCTATGGTCGGCCTGCGAAATTTGGGCTACCGATATCCATGCTGAAAATTCCATACTTGTACCAAAAAATACAGTGTGAAATCAAGCTGTAACCAAAAATAAATAAATAAATTACATAATTTTGAATTTTATTTAGTCTAAAAAAGAAAGAATTTGATTTCACCTCATACTTGTTACCTTATTTGTATTTATAGGCTATGTGGAGCCGTGGACCCGGTTCAGCTAATCTTACAACAACCTCTGCATCTTCCACTGGTCGTAAATCACAAGGTCATACAGTATATGATTCTAGGGATAAAAATATACCCAGTCGTGGTGATATATCATCAGCATCAAACTCTGGGCAAAGTAGTCTTCATTCAACAGTAAACCGACAATTTCTTGTTAATAGAAATACAACACAAAGTGGTGACACTTCATCGATTGCCCTGTCTGAAGCATCATCACTAAGCCCTAATGCTTACACTAATCAACAAGGTACAGAACCAAAATCAATTCAAACAGTACATTCACGTTTTCGACAATTTTGGGTTGAAACATTTGTCGGTGGACGATCAAGAACTAAATCTGAAAATCAAACACCTGTACAAGCTGAAGCGCATAAAGTTAGATTTTCTGATCGTCTTAATGAACCAACAGGTCAAGAAACTGATATTTTACCTCCACATGCTTATACAATAACTGGTGATTCTAGTCAAGCAGCATCGATTCTCCGTCCATTAGCAGTCTATACAAATCTATCCAGTCCTCAATCAGATCAAATATCACCAGGTTTTATTTCATCTGGTACTGGTAGTCTAAGACATCTTGTATCTAAACATCCTCGTGGTGGAGTAGATGGAGTTTCAATTACTCCACCATTCTCATTTTTCAACAAAATGATAAATTTCGATTAGGCAAATCTACTGCTGGTGTTAAAGGACGCTTTGTATCTACTGGTAATATACCCGGCAAAAGTTCAGAAGAACTTTATACACTTCCAAAGCCTTCAAAACTACCATGTGAACAACCGATAAGCACTTTGGAATTTACAACTTCAAAACTTAAAAATCCTAAAAAGGTAAGAATTATTTCTTTGCAATCATTTCTTTTTCTATGAATTGATTTAGAGCTAGAGTATTTCTCATCTGGTTAATTCATCTTATATGCTTTACACATTTCCAAAAGACTTGTCTGAAATTTTTGTCTTTCGGAGAATTAAAAAAAGCATACAAACAACTGAAAACTAATTATATGCAAGTGTCTGAAACAAGTGTGTAAAACTAGTTTTTGATCGATGGATTTTGTTTTTGTCTATTTTATTACTTGTCCCACTTGAGATTTGAATTTAGCGCGAAAGAAGATGGCTAAGTGAGTTAGAATGATGATACTACTAATAATGCCTTGATTCTTACTAAAGTTGGAGTAAATGCCGAATTAGTTGTGTTTCCCAGATAATCGTTATTATCAAAATATGATATGAATCTAAAAAACGTTTGACTTTTGGTTCGAAGCGTTTGCGGTTATCTAGATAGACAGTGGCTCACTACAGACACTTGGAAACTAATAGAAGAGAGAAGGATAGTGAAACAAAAGATTATCCAGGTTATTATTAATATCGATGAGCAACAAAAACAGGATTTGAATGCAAAATACAATACACTGAACAAAAGAGTAAAGAAGAGTGCCAGGGAAAACAAAAGAAAATATTATGAAGCCGTGGAAAGTGAAGCAGAACAAGCTGCAGTGCAGGCAAAGGAGACCTCGCCACACTCTACCAAACAACTAGGCACCTATCGGGCAAACGTTCGACACAGATTAAGCCAGTAAAGGATGACAATGGAAAGTCAATCACCAGAGGTGGAGCAAAGAAAACACTGGGCTGAACACTTTCAAAGACTTCTAAATCGACTGCCACCTACAACGCGCCCAACAATACCAATGACGGGAGAGGAACTACCAGTGAACACTGACCCCCCGACGAAATCAGAAGTCCTGAATGCAATCAAGATGCCAAAAGCTGGGAAGCAGCAGGACCAGATGGAATCCCAGCAGAAGAATTGAAAATGGACCCAGAGACAACAGCGGACTTGATGACACCACTGCTGGAGAAGGTGTGGAAAGAGGGCAAAGTACCTGAAGATTGGAAGAAAGGATACTTATTCAAACTACCAAAAAAAGGAGACTTAAGTGAATGCGGAAACTGGCGCGGAATTATGCTCCTATCCATCCTAAGACAAATACTAAGCCGCATCATCCTGGAGAAAATCAAACAAGCCCTGGATGAAAAACTCCAACCAGAACAAGCTGGATTCAGGAGAAACAAGTCATGTATGATCAAATCGCCGCACTACGGATCATCATTGAACAAAGCTTTGAATGGCGGTCACCTCTCTATCTCAACTTCATCGACTTTGAAAAGGCCTTCAGCAGACAGAGTCGATCGAGAGGTCATTTGGCAACTACTTCGCTACTACGGGGTGCCACCAACAATCATACATCTCATCGAACAGTTATACGACAATGCTGCATGCCAAGTAATCCACAACGGGAAACTTACGGAATCCTTCGAAGTGAGGACGGGAGTGAGGCAAGGCCGCCTACTATCGCCAATGATTTTCCTGATTGCAGTAGATTGGATAATGCGACTGACAACGGCAACCAACGAGGGAACAGGCATAAAATGGACTCACACAAAAGACTTAGAGGATCTGGACTTCGCCGATGATATATGTCCTATTTCCACAAACTGGAAGATATGCAAGTGAAAAGCAACAAGCTGGCAGAAGAAGCATCCAGAGAACATAGAACTTCCTTCAGGTGAACATAGATAAAACAGAGGTGATGAAGATTACTGGCCAACACCAACAGCAACAACAACAACAACAGACAACAATCAGCCAGAATAAATGGGAGGAACATGAAAGAAACAACCTCCTTCACCTACCTGGGAAGCATCGTTTCAACTACAGGCGGACGGAACTGACAAGGATATGAAAGCAAGGATCGGGAAATCAAGACAAGCTTTTATTACTCTCAAGTCTGTGTGGAGGTCAACAGCACTCACCATCAAAAATAAGATCCGGATTTCCAACTCCAATGTGAATTCAGTCAGTGCTACTATACGGATCAGAGACTTGCATCGCGCGTCATAAAGAGCATCTCCAACAAACTTCAGACCTTCATTAACAGTTGTCTCCGCTCTAAACTCAAGATCAGATGGCCAGCTTGAAAAGATCAGCAACAAGGATCTCTGGGAGCGACCCAACGCAGCAGGAACCGATTGTGAACCAAATAGGTAAGAAGAAATGGAGATGGATTGGCCATACTCTGGGGAAACCATCAACCGACATCACAGACAGGCCATCGCTCGAGTGGAAACCGAACGGGAAGCGACAAGTTGGTCGTCAGTGCGAGGGTGACTTGGAGGCGGTCATGTGAAGAGAAGATGAGAGCATGTGGGCAGACTTGGAGCGGGGTGAAAAAATTGGCAGAAAACCGAACGCAATAGAGACGCGTGGTTGAAGCCCTATGTTCCTCTAGGAATTAAAGGATATGATAATAATAAGTTAGAGTACCCATGCAACCAGGTAGAGAATTCATCTGAAGTGATAACAACCAGGACTGCCCATTGTCCCCATATCCGTTTAATTTCGTCACAAACGTACTAATATACCTAAACCTAACTGAATTCAGCTACTCAGGGATTGACTCTTATCAGGATATGAATAATCTCGTTGCGCATGGTATAATCCTCCACTTACAACTTCAGAGTCTTCTGAACACCTTAAGTAGCAATATGGAAATTTTTGATATGCGTTTTTCTCCTGTGAAATGTAAAATAGTGATGCTACAAGACTGGACTACATTGACTTCTGGCTTCAAGATAAGGAATGAAGTGGTGACTGAGTGTGTTGACCACTTCACTTATTTGGGAAGTTGCATTAGCCGAAGCGGACTGATTGTTGACGAAATCTCAGCCCGGATACAGAAGCCTCATTTGGCATTCACCTGCCAAATTACGCTATCTCTGGAGCAGACGTGATATCTGGCTGTCGATCAAAGGATGAGTGAGCTGCACACTAATTCACTCTATTCTTCTTTATGCCTGCGAATGAGACATGACAATTGAAAGTTGAATATAGGAAAAGGTTGCCTGTCTTTAATCATAGGTACCCGCTTTTTGTCTTCTATGTTAGGTGGTATATTAGCGTTAGTAATATTGAGGTTAGGCGTCGAGTGATAGGCAGGGAGGAGAAATCAATTAACGAGGTTGTGAAGTTACCTTGATTGAGATGGTAAGGACATATGTTACGCATGCCTAGCCTAGCCATCACCTTCTTTGACAGACAGTTTTAGCCGACTTAGAATGGAAAAGAGCTAGTTGTGATCAAATGAAAACTTGATATCAGTCAATCAAATCCGTGACAGTTAGATTAAACCAAGCACTTAGGGAAAGTGCCGACGTCCTGGTTGGGGTGTTCGGGATGGTAAGAACCTAAGACGGCTGGAGACAATTGGTGATATGGCTCAAAATCTTTGTCGTTGGCTCAGATTCATTTTCACTTTATGATCTGCCATTTCCTAAATGATCCTACTCTTTTATTCGCATTTCTGCCTATTATCATTCCTCCAAATCTCTTTTCCCTCTTTTGTCTTCTTTTGTGTACTTCATCGAGTGTGGCGAATTAAACTGCTGCACTCATGTACAGAGTTCTGTGTTAAAACCAGTCATTCAGTCGGTGAGATAGAGTTCAAAGTGTATTTTCACAATCTGCATACAACTATGAACAAATATTTTTTTCAAGTGTTTGTTTGCAGGGATTTGATTGGTTAAAGATGTGATCACGAGCTGAAATCAGCTAGAGAATCACCGAGGAACTAATAGACAACTGTTTTGCCCTAGTCTGGAACTCTTCAGCGTCCACCAAGGACCCTTTGGTTTTAAGTGGAGTTTATGGATCATTCAGATACTGAAGCCCGATCTAGTGGCTCATGAGTTTCACCTTCCACCAATTAATCGGCTATGGCGTTGGCCGGTGGTCACGCTATATGTCTCGAATTGGTAGAGGGTGAACTCATAGGCCATTGGGTTAGGTCCCAGTGTCTGAATAGCCTACGAACTCTCTTTGTAACCGGATGGTCCTGGGTGCATCGGCCAGAAATTAAACATATCTACACTTTCATCAGTTTCTCTGCGAAAACTTAGACCAGTTAAATAAATAAATAAATCAGATCTTAAATATTTATGTAATTTGTTGTTTTTTGGTGTTTTTCTTAACAGAATTTCCCGCTGAAAACAAGTTTGGATGTGTTACGAAGAAAACGTGGTGAGTTGGATTTTTCATATTTAAAAATGAATAATAATAATAATTGAGCATTTTAATTGGCACAAGATGTTTCACAATGATAACTTATAAGATTTTTCTAATGGAATTTGAAACTGATTACACCAACCGACCAGTAGATTAGACTGTGAGACATGGCCATTGAGAGTGGAAGACATGAAAGGCTAGCTGTCTTTGATCATAGGTGTCTGCATTCTTTCTCAAATGTGAAATGGTATGAAAGGGTGAGCAATATTAAGGTTAGGCGTCGAATGCTAGATAAAAAGGGGAAATCAATAAACAAGGTTGTGAAGCTACATCTACTGAGATGGTTGAGGCATGTGTTTCGCATGCCTAGCTATCACCTTCCTTGATGGGCAATATTAGCTGACATAGGTTGGATCAGGTTGTAAAAGAGCTAGTGGTGGTCAAACCAAAACAGAAATCCACAACAGTTAGTTTAAGCCACATAGGAATGTATAGACTTCCTGGTTGGGGTCCTCGAGACAGTAAACACCAATGGCCAGAGACAATTGATGATATGGCTCGAAATCGTTCTGAATGGCTGGTGCAGACGCATCCACTGCTTG